AAACGATCAAAGTCCAAAAAGATAAATTTTTATTCTGGTGGTGCAATGTAGTAATAAAAATAATTGTTAAAATTTGATAATGTTTGAGACGTAACAAATGCACGTAGTGCAAAGATGTAATGCATACGTGAAATAATGTGACGTAATATTTTCTTTTCACGCAAAAATATTTCCGTTGACAGCGTCAAACAGGAAAGTTTTTGACTTTTATTCTCATAGCACATCTGAAGATTACTAAAGTGCTTAACTCTTGCTATGAGTTTTAATTAAATGCATTAAATAGTTATCTTTTATTTTTCTTTCATCGTATTTGTGAGTATACTAGTTGTACTAGTACAGCAACGTTCTCGGGAAAAATCATTTAGGAGTGACGTCTCCTAATGAAAAATAAAGTTTTTGTGTGCGTTGTATCTATCAACATTTCTGAAAGTATCGATAGGCGTCGGGTAAATGCCTTTATTTGGTGCATGTGGCATTTGGATGTGAATGCGAATGTTAATGTGTGCATAAAAGCGCGGCGACAGAAAGAAAGCAAAAGCATTTTATTGTATTTAAAATGTGACATTTTTATTAATATTGCTTTTAGAATTATGTTCAAAGATAGTCGTTATTGGTACATAACAATATCATGCACACAAATAATAGTAGGTATACATGTGGAAACTTTGTTTTTTTGGTTACTCTTGAAACTTTATGGAGACATCTTTTCGGTCATCAACTTCAAGAAAGATTTCTACCAGCTCCCGATCGCTCCCGAGGACGCGCACAAGACGGCCATCACGACGCCTTTCGGCCTCTTTGAGTTCACCAGATCTTCTAGCTCGGGCTGCGCAACGCCGCCCAGTCGCTTTAGAAGGCCATGGACAACCTGCTCCGCGGCCTTCCTTTCGCGCGCGTCTACCTCGACGACATCATCGTCGTCTCCCGCAGCGAGCAACCCTTGCACCGAGGGGAACCCTTGCACGCTGCTTACGGACCACGAGCCTCTCTCTCTTCCTTCGGTGAAAGCCTCCCCTCGCCAAGCCAGGCAGCTCAAATACCTACTACAGTTCCCGATCACGCTAGCCCACATCAAGGGCCTGGAAAACACAGCAGCAGACGTTCTATCCAGGGTCGAGGCTATTAAGATGCCTGCCTGCGTAGATTCGGCCACCCTTGCCCGTGAGCAGGCCAAGAATGCCGACCTCCCGCAAATCCTCGACAACGGCTCACTCGCTCTGCAGCCTCTGGACATTGACGGTTCCTCTCTTCTCTGCGCGCTCAACGGCAGCTCCATCCGCCCATACGTCCCGCGCAGCCTGAGGAGACTAATCTTCGAGACGCTCCATAGCCTCTCGCACCCCAGCGTCCGCGCGACAACGCGGCTTTTTTATGCCCGGCAGAAATACGTCTGGCCGGGCATAAAAAAGGACGTCAGCCGCTGGACCAGATCCTGCGTGCCGTGCCAGCGYTCCAAGGTGCACCGTCACAACCAGGCAGCCCTAGGGAACTTTGCAGCCCCAGATGCTCGTTTCGACCACCTCCACCTGAACCTTATTAGGCTGCCTCTGCACGTGGGCTTCCAATATTGCCTTACAGTAATCGACAGATTCTCCAGGTGACCGCTCGCAGTCCCACTGCCCGACCAGCAAGTGGAGACCGTTCTACGAGCACTAAGTTAGCTCTTTCGGCAAGCTTCTTACCATCACGACCGACCAGGGCCCGCAATTCAAGGCCAAGCTCTTCGAAGCCCTCGCTAAAATCATCGGCGCGGAGAGGATCTACAGTCCTCCTGGGTCTGAGGACATCCTTCGAGGAAGATCTGAAGGCATCCCCTGCAGAAATGCTCTTTGTGCCTCCCTCCGCGTCCCCGGAGATTTCCTCGCCGCAGAGAGCCGCACGGACGCCGTCGCTCCCACCTTCGTCGCGGGGCTCCGCGACCTAATGAGGAAGCTGCAAACCGTCCCCGGATCACGGCATGTCCCTCATCACACTCCTTTCTTTCACGAGGACCTGCGTTCCTGTCCTTTCGTCTGCAGGAAGGTCGAGACGGTCCGGTCGACCTTTGACCAGCCCTATACGGGCCCCCACTGAGTACTTCGTCGCCTCAGCGAGCAGGCGTACCTTGTCGAGGTTGACGGGGTTCCTAGGACCCTCTCAACCGCCTCTCTGAAACCAGCCTACCTGGAGCTCGCTAACCAGCAACAAGACAGCGCTGTTTTAGCGCTATCGGCGGAAGTTCCGCGTCCTTCAATCTACCCAGCGCAAGACTCCACGCAAGGACCCCCCCCCCGGTCAATCCTGAAGATAGTCAGTCGCCCTTCCATCCCCCTTCTTATCAAGCGCACCAAGAAAGTGACGTTTCGCACGCCGGGGGAGTCCGGCACTGATGGGGGAGTAGCTGTGGCGGCGCGCGCTCAGCAGCGCCGCGGCCGGCCAAGACAGGCCGGGCCGAAGGCTGCTGAGCGGGATGTTTGACTACGACGTTCAAAGAGACTATACGCAAAAACTGATTGACTGTTGATAAAACAATAAACTTATTTCTGACCTTGCATTCCTACACGGCTTTATTCTTTCTTAACAATACGGAACTACTCTCTTTTGGAGACCTTACGTCATCCTCTTCAGATACATATAAAATTTTTACAGAGTTTACTACAGGATCAACGCACGATCTGTGGTGAATTCAGCTTGATAGCAGACAAAACGATACAAAAGTAACTTAAGTTTATTTTCTATATTTTTCATTTGGCTGTAAGTATTGCAATTACCCCACATAACACGATAAGTTTGGAAATCTTTTAGCGAAAATTTTCGTAAAATATTCCCAAAAAATCTTTTAGAAGCCTTGCAGGCATCATTCCAAAATATTGTAAAAAGGATTTATAAAAGATTTTACAAAAATATTTCGAGCACATTTTAAAAATATTTTACTGAAAAAGTAATTAAATTGTTTAAAACTATTTCTCTCAAACCTAGCAGAAATCTTGCAAAAAGATTTTATAAAATATCTTAAGAAAGTTTGTAAGAATATTATTAAAAATATTTCAATTAATGTTGCAGAAAGGTTGTTAAATATTTCTAGTAATCATTTTTTAAATAAATCTTTTATAAATCTTGTAACAACCTTTCAATAATATTTCTCAAAACATTTTGGAAAACTTTCTTGAAATCTTTTACGATATGTTCTGGAAAAACCTTTTTATGAAAAAATATTTCTATGTAACGTAGCAGAAATCATGCAAAAAGATTTCACACAATATTTCAAAAAAGTTTGTAAAAATATTATGAATAATATGTCAAAAACATATCAAACATATTTATAGAAACCTTTAAAGATTTATAAACTAGCAAGGGTTTTGTCATAAAGTCCCCTGACGCATTACTGCAGAAAAGCATTAAACGATCTTTAGACATCTTAGATCCGGGTGCAGTTTTTTCTATTTTCGATATAAAAGTTCTACTGGACATTTTTTCCACCAAAGCCCAGTTTCGTCAGCATTGAAAACCTGATATGCTGTGTATCATTCCTCTTTTATAATCTTTAAATTTTTTCTGGATACTTCCTTGCGGCTTCATGATTAGCCAACGCAGATAATCCTTGAATTTTTATGCTATAAATTGCCAAACTCTTTTTTAATTTTTCGAACCAACTTTTACTTGCTATAGATCTCGGTAGACAGAAGAATCTCCATGTTCTTTAAGATGTTTGTAAACCTTCAGTGCTTTTTGTCTAATGATATTACTATCCAACTGAACTCTTTTTTGACAGCAATCATCAATCTAAATGCTGAGTGCCTTTTCCATCTTTTTAATTATTGGCGCCCGCAACACTGTAAAATACTTTCCTCAACATTGTATCATTAAGACGGCAAGCCTCGCTGTGGCTGTAAAAGTACAGTGTTGGGCAAAGATTTTTTTGATAGAGAAAACCGTTTTATAGGATGCTGTGTTGTAGGAAGGTTCCCGCAATTTATGAATCGTGTTATATTTTTTATATTTGAAACTGTGTTTATAAGGTACCGTCTTGCAGGAGGGCTACCTGTACTAGTTTTATCGTCTACAAAATAAGAAAAAGCGAGATGAGAGACGTTAGTAAGCGAAAGAATGGTGAAAAAAGAAAACATATAAGAGAAAAAGCATCCTCTGTAATTTATAAGGCTACTGTTAAGAGAAAAATTCCAGTTTCCCACGTAGTCTAGTAGTCTTACAATTAGGAAGTTCACTTCAGAATTTGAGATACCCAGCTATAAACTTGTATAAACTTGTATTTTGACATCCTAAAAGTTGTCTTAAAACCCACATATTGTACAAGGTAGGGTGTACGCGACTATTAAAATCTAAAGTCAAAGGTCACAAAAATCGATTTTCAGCACATTTTTTTCAAATATCTCGTTTCCTATGGTTTTTTCGCTATTTGTATTTGGTATCAATATTGTGAAGGAATAAATTCCTTACAACTTTTGTTTTAAAGATTTTTTTACACGTTTAATCGTTTTCGAGATAGAGGGTTGAGAGCGCGCGATTAGAGCATCATTTAAAGTCAACCGGTAGTCTCGGTCAAAAACACGCTATATAAAGTTTATTAATTATTGATAAATACGTAATTATTATTAATTTTCATTTCTTATTAACTACTACTTATTAACTAAATGAGCCAGCGTTTTGCCGCCCATTAAGTCTATTCCGTTCTCAAAAAAATAAACAGGCGAAAAATCCTCTTCCGGAAGTTCTGTGTTATCTTCGATAGGCAATAGCAATAATGTATCACAATTCGAATTTGCTTTCGATTTTATGTGCTCAACTTTATAGCGGAAACCCGATAAACAATATGCATAACGTTGTAACCTAGCCTTTGAAGTTGCTGGTATGCCTTTTCTCGGTCCTAATATTAACTGTTACGGTTGGTTATCAGTACGTAATATGATTTCTTTACCAAAAATAAATTAAAAGAAACGTTTAAATTCGAATATTATAGCCATTGCTTCTGTATCAAGTATTGTCCGATTCAACTCTTTTTTTTAAATCTTTCGCGAGGCGTACGCGATTGGTTTTTCCGTATTGTCCTTATATTTATGCGACAAAATTGCTGATAGCCCGTAGGGTAACGCGTCGCACGTTAACACTATCTGCTCGTTCGGATCATAAGTAGCCAATACGCGCGGTGATGTCAATTCATTTTTCACCCATGCGAACGCTTTTTCACAACTCTTACCCCATACAAACTCACTCGCACTTGTACAATCATGCAACGGTTTTAAATTATCCGATCTATCTTTCAAGAAGCATGCATAAAAATTTATTAATCTTAAAAATAAGTTTAATTCCTTAAAATTACTTGGTTGTGGTGCTTTCACCATCGCTTCAACTTTAGACTTTGCCTTGTGCAAGCCGTCTTTATCGATTACGAGTCCTAAAACCTCGATACTTTCCTGTAAAAATTTACATTTCTTATTCAACTTTAAACCGCATTCGATTATTCTTTCGCATACTTTTTCAGTTCTCTCAATATTTTCTCCCTTCGTGTATCCCATTATATAAATGTTGTCGATATACGCTATCACACCATCAATCCCTCTTAAGCATTTATCCATTTTTCTCTGTACATCCGCAGGTGCCAGCGATACACCTTCTGGGATTTTCTTATATCTGTGCAGTCCTTTATGCGTTACAATAGTTAGTAAGTCTAAAAAACTTTCATGCACTGGGAATTGCATGTAGCAATGAAACATATCAAGTTCCGTAAAGTAGCAACCGCCTTGCATACATGCGAAAATTTCGTCTATAGTGTGTAATCATTTATTATACTTAGATTCAATGTAAGATTAAAGTCTCCACATATACGCAAGTTGCCGTTACTTTTAAACGTCGGTACGATAGGCGTCGCCCATTTGCTAATCTCGATTTGTTCTAAGTGACCAAGCCCGCATAATCTCTCTAATTCTTTTTCTATTAACCCTCTTAAAGCATGTGCGATGGGTCTACATTTCATCGCAATAGGTCACGCGCTTTCTTTTATATAAATTTTGGTTTTACTTTTGTTATACAATCCTGGTTCATCATTAAAAAGATCTTTATACTTTTTAAAGAAATCAGCTATTTCATCAATTTTTATTTTATTCAACAAACTTTTAACATTACCGTTTTTAATCTTTAACGGCCAACAGCCAAATGCTGCAAGCCACTGTCTACCAATCAAAATCGGGCTAACACCCGACATTACGTAGCAGTATAATATACATTTTTTTCCATTAAACTCAACTTTTAAATTGTGTATCTGTCCCAGCGGGCGAAAAATTTTATTATCATATGTGTGCAGCTTAGCATTTGTTTTAATCATTACCTCATCACGAAAGTACTTTTCTTTTTCGACTTTAGAAATTACAGTCGCATATGTGCCCGTGTCAATTTCCATACTTACATTCTACCGTTCACGAAAACATCAACTTACATAGGTTCGGCGTGTGCGCATTCATTACCCATACACACACACTTTTATACATACGCTCGTTGTCAGTCTTAATATTAAAGAAGTCGCGATAGTGGTATAGCTTCTTCTCCTTTTCTTATTCTTCTGCTACCTCGCTGCTTTCTCCCAGCTTATTGACACTTTTCTTTGGTGCTCCGTTCTTCTTCAAGCGTTCTAGATGTCCTTTTCCACCGCAGTGATAACATGTTTGGAATATTCCTCTCGATAGTACTAGAAGCGTTAAGGTGTGTTTCCCTGAACGCGAGGAACGGGCCGTGAACGAGGAATAGACCAATAGGAACACGTGCTGTAGGGAGAAAAAAATCTTCTTTTTAATTCCGATCTCTATGGACGAGCCTTTATTCACAATAGGTGGTGTACCACGAGTGGTGAAATACAAAGGATGTTTTATGCAGAGTACAAAAAGAGCGCTACTAACTGGTTCGGCGGACAAAGAGAAAGTGGCCGAGACAATGAATTCCCACGGTGATCCAGGCCTCCGAAAGTAGAGAAGGCGACGGTCACAGCGATCACGCTGCTGTTCTGACCAATCAAATGCCCCGGGCGCGCAAACGCCGAGTGATCAGACCAATCGGATGCCTCCGCGTGGTGGTCAAACCGCGAGGCCAGAGCCGAAATGCCCCTGGTAAACCTGCGCAACCCCTGCAAAGCCGCTTCCCTTAGCGCATAACGACGCTAGTACTAATGGCTGAGCGGTGTCAGCACCGTCCCTGCATGAGATGCTGCAGCTGCGCGCTTTTGACCGAGAGGTATCAGCACCGTGTTACCGCAACAAATGTTTTATCTTTATACCGGAAGTCGGAGCGCATATGATTTCGCCCACCGCAACAATAATACACAATGTCCGGTTTATTTTGATTTTGCGAGCGCTGGTGGCTACCGTGCTTCTTACTTTCTCTGAAATGCTGCTTATCCGTTGGCTTTCTGCTGTTATTCGCGTTCTTTCATTCATCATTTTTTGCCGTCTATCCCGATCACCAGTGTTTGCAAGCAAAACGCTTGCTTAGTGATAAAAGTTTTTATTTGGTCTGAATCGCCAAACTTTTCTTGCATGACATCTATTTAAAAAAACAATAATAAAAATTAAATCAATTATAATTTGATGAATATTTGGAGATAGTGAGGTCTCCAATAGAGCGTGGGTCAGTGTCGGTGATCAAGAGTAAGCCGTTAGGTTTGCCAGGTCGTAATTTCAGTCTTTATTGAGTCTCTGTACAGTAAGTTGATTTATATTCTCTAGTCGCTATCTCATTCGAATTCGAACTCATCGTCGTTCGGCTAAACTCGGCCCGGGGGG